AAATTAAGTGCATTTACTCTTCATTTGAGTCGGTAAACGAGAATTTGCCAATGGAATTAGTATTTTTACTCTTAAAATAAGAAAATTGGATAATATGCACTTGAAATAAGACAATTCAATCGTGTTTTCTTATTTTAAGTGTAAATTGTCTCGTTCTATTGGCAAAATGTCTGTTTTACCTCCTTAATCCAAGAACAAAAGTGCTTATTTTAAGAAATAAATGACTCATCTACATTTCAGTTTTTTCCAGTGAGGTTATTTTCTCTTGGAATATCTTGTATTTTCCAATAATTTGAGCATTAATTTACCAGTTAAATGGGATAGTTTGGATTTTAAAAAGAAAAAAATCAGTTTTCAAATGCATAATGTCTAATCATCTTATATTACAAGCAAAAACATTTATTTGGTTGATGGATTATTTTATTCACCTGCTCAAACAAGGAGGAAATACACTTATTTTAGGAAACATTCAGTTGTTTTTAAATTGTTGTTTTTCTCGGTAGTGAACAACTTTCTTGGAATTTCAGTTGGAAAATCTTGTCTATGGAGTGAATTTTGTACCATTATTGTTATAAAAGGTACGGTTTGTATGGAAATTTCAAATATAAATGCAATCCATACAAGAATGTTGATAAAATGTTTTTATAAAAACAGATTTTGAGAGGAACTTTATTTAACTTTAATAAATTTTTTTTTTTCAAATGTAATTTTTTCAAAATTCAGTTTCAGATTGAGTTTTATTAATTGCATTCTTCTCACATTGCATTTCTTATTCTCCTCACTTCACGCTTAATACAATTTGTTGTTCTTGACGTGCAAATTAACCAATAAAGATGTTGTTGCTAACGTCCAGCAGACCAATAGAAATGCTTCTTCGCTCCTCACTCCAGGGAAGGCCCGCCCCCAGAATTGAGGACAATGTGATCTATGAAATTCAATATGAATAGAATGCCATTCATGAAATCTGAATCTCAATCTGAAGAAGACAATCATTAAAAAATGAAAATATAAAATTAACATTAGATAGAATATGGCACAAATATTAATAAAAAAAACAGCAAAGTTATTCTCAAAGCCTTTTTTTTTATCAAGATCTTTTTCAAAGTTTCATTTTCTAGATTGTATTAATTTTTAAATTTTTTTTAACGAAATATGTTCTTTGCTGCAACAATAATGGAACAAAATTCACTCTGTATAGGTCAACTTTTTGCCTTCTTTGTGAATGGATATAATTTCACATAACTTACAGAAAGTTAAATATTTGTTACATTAAAAAAAGTGGAAAATGAACATTTTTATTTGCTTCTTATTAACCCCATATTTTTAACTGCTTCTTTTTTTGTTGCTAAATAGTCGCAGAAGGAGACCCCACCTGCAGCGACCACAACTGTGAGCATATAACCCAAAGCAGCATATCAGTTCCACAGAAATGTTGACAAAATTAAGTTGTTTGAAGCACTAATCTAACCTCAGCTTTCCGTTTCAAACTCTGCTTACTGTTAAACATTACTGTGTTGTTAGCTCTGTATCAATATTTATCAAAAGGGATTGTTTAAAGGATTATTTTGTGTTCTGAACAGGTTGCACAGACATCAGAGCAGCCTGCAGCACCCAAAGGAATGCCTGCTCCACCCCCACCACCCCCAGAGCCGCCAAAGCTGGAAACCAAAGGAGAATCGGCTGCCAAAGCCGTAAAGCCGACGCAAAAAGAAGAACCGAAAGCTTCCGCTAAAGAACCCGAGTCCTCAAAAGGAAAATCGTCTCTGAGTAAATTCTTCCGATCAAAGGTAAAGAAATGTGGAAAGATTCAGTCACCACAAATATGAAGACATTTACACAATGTTCATTAGAGATTCATTGAAATCACTGATATAAGGTGAGAAAGGTCAAAGTCAAGAGTTTCATTTAGTAACGCAACATTTTTACAGTAGTTTATTAAACCTTTAAACTGACTCATCTAGCTGTGATCTGGACAGAAAACAATCTAGAAATAAGTAAAAATTTCCTTAATTAAGTGTATTCACCCTTAATTTGAGTAGGTAAATGAGAAAGTTTGCCAATAGAATGAGTAATTTTACTCTTAAAATAAGATAATTAGATAATATGCACTTGAAATAAGACAATGCGATTGTGTTTTCTTATTTTAAGTGTAAATTGTCTTGTTCCATTGGCAGAATGTCTCTTTTACCTCCTTAATTCAAGAACAAATGCACTTATTTTAAGAAAAAAATGACTTATCTAGATTTAGATTTTTTGCAGTGAAGTTGGTTTGTCTGAAGGAGGCGGAAAGATCTTCTTTCTTAGCTGATGCAGCACTTTCATTAAGTCACCTTTATCCTGTTTTAAGTAGAAAAAAAGATTCTTAGCATTTTAATGCTAACCTGGCATGAAGAGGTGGACTGCCCTCTTCAGGTCGGTGGACAGTCCTTGTCCCAAGTGGAGGAGCGTGAGATCAATAGACGGATCGTTGCGGCATCGGCAGTGATGCGGTCGCCGTATCGGACTGTCGTGGTGAAGAGGGGGCTGAGTCTGGGGGCAAAGGCCTCGATTTATCGATCGATCTACGTTCCCACCTTCACCTATGGTCAAGAGAGCTGAGCAATGACTGAAAGGACAAGATCCTGAATGCAAGCGGCCGAATGAGTTTCCTTCGCAGGGTGGCTGGGCGCACCCTTTGAGATCAGTTACCCGAGAGGAGCTCAGTTACCCGGGAGGAGCTCGGAGTCGAGTCGTTGCTCCTCCACGTCGAAAGGAGCCAGCTGAGGTGGCTCAGGAATCAGTTCCCGGTCGCCTCCCTCAGGAGGTGTTCTAGGTTTGCCCTATTGGGAGGAGGCCTGGTGGAAGGACCAGGACAGGTTGGAGGGACTGTGTCTCTGACTATGTCACATCAGGGTCCCCCCAGAGTAGCTGGAGGAGGTGTGTGTGGATCGGGAAGTCTGGGCATCTTTACTTAGACTGCTGCCTCCACGACCTGCCCCCGGATAAAGCGGATGAAAATGGATGGATGGATGGATGGATGGATGGATGGATGGATGGATGGATGGATGGATGGATGGATGGATGGATGGATGNGATGGATGGATGGATGGATAGATGGATGGATGGATGGATGGATGGATGGATGGATGGATAGATGGATGGATGGATGGATGGATGGATGGATGGATGGATGGATGGATGGATGGATGGATGGATGCTAATCTGGCAAATTTAAAAAATAATAGAAATATCCACATTGCAAAAATGTAAACTTAATTAAGTTTTTTTTTCTTAAGATAAGTGCATTTTTTTTTCTTGAATTAAGAAGGTAAGTAAGACACTTTGCCAATCAAACAACAATTTACACTTAAAATAAGAAATCAACTTCAGTGTCTTATTTCAAGTGCATAATAAAATGAAAAAGGTAAAAGTACACTGCAAAAAATGGAAATCTAAATAAGTCATTTTTGCTCAAATTAAGTGCATTTTTTCTTGAATTGAGGAGGTAAGTGAGACACTTTGCCACTGGAACAAGACAATTTACATTTAAAATAAGAAAAAAACAATTGCTTTGTCTTATTTTATGTGTATATTATCTAATTATCTTATTTTAGGAGTAAAAATACGCATTCCATTGGCAAATCATCTTATTTACCTGCTCAAATTAAGGGTAAATACACTTAATTTAAGACATTTTTTACTTATTTCTAGATGTTTTTTGCAGTGTAAGCATTGCATTGGCAGATCATCTTATTTATCTACTCAGATTAAGGGTCAATACACTTATTTTAAGATATTTTTTCTCATTTTTAGATTTTTTTTTTGCAGTGCAGCGTGTCTGAAAATCACTGATAATAATATTCTAACCGTTTTATGTTAAATGTTTCATCCCTAAAGGCTCCTATTTACTATGAGAAATAACCTTTAACATCTATGTCAGATTTTTATATTTCAGAAAAGGAAATAAAAGCAGTTAAATTTATAACTAAGGCTTAAATTTAATGGATTAATACATAAAGATTCACCTTTAGTTCCGGTGTGCTCCTAAACTTTTATTGTAGTTATAATTAATCATGCTAAGCTGTTTTAAATGATTGCTAGTTAACTATAGAAACTCCAGGGTCAACCAAGGATCCTGCGCTCTCTCTTTGAGCCGTGCAAACATTGCATATCTAACCCATTAAATAATCTTTTTACTGCCTTCAGTCCACAGTCCTTGACAGACACAACAAAGCTTTTATAATCTTGCTTTGCATTAGAATGACTTAGGATAAAAAAGCAGAACACCACATGCATTT